GGACTACACATCAAGACCCTGTCCCCCCAAAAAAATTATTTTTAGCTTTTGAATTTCTTTTTACCATTTCAATCACTCATATTTGTTTTACTTGATACAGTTCACTTCCAGAATAAAAATAGAACTGAGACAAAGAGAAAAATGTTGTATATGACATACTATGACAAAAATAGAAATAGGATTAATTACTTAAAGAAAGCCCTCATAATAGAATTAACTAAATTATGGGTAATGACAAATACAGGAAAAGAAGCAATTCTCCAGAGTAAAGGAAGCAGAGCTTAGAGGAAGTCCTTAGAGAGAAAAGGTGAAATGAAAGTACTAATTAGTGCCGAGTGACCTGAGAGAAGTCACCTAACCTCCCTAGGGATGACGCCAGTATATAGATATTCTTGTATGGTAAATGATAGAATAGAGTTAAATGAGTTCAAAGCACCATTCTATTAAAGTGTAATATAATAATTAATATTTCTGAGTCATCCAGAAAAAAGCAAATTTGTGTTCTTTGTATTTGTTTAGTAAGGAAAAAGCATATGAAAAATATTAATTTATAATAATAAATTACTATTGATATACTATTGATGTTACTATTGATATATATGCAAATAATTACTTTTGATATTACTGTTGATTGTACTTACTTGTTGACAAGCAATAAGCTAAATATACTTCCATTGCCTTATTTAATTTGTACTTTAATTAGTGAATGAAGTTCTTAATTTGCATACTTGCATGAGATAAAAAATATTTTAAACTAACATTTATTTATTTTCAACAATGATAATGTAACATTATTACAGAAAACCAGGAAAGTATAGAAAAATCAGAATAGAAAAAAAGAATCCTGTCATCCCCAAAGTAACTAGGAACATTTCAGAGCATATCCATTGAATCCTTTACATTACACACACATTTGTTTTGACTTTTTTAAGAGAGACCAAAATCAACAGATTCTGCCTCTATTTTCAAAAGCAAGGGATTTCAATAGCTACGTGACAATCCATCTTACAGATATAAGGAACTAGATAATCCCTTATTGTTGGCCATAAGGAAAAGGTTTGACACCAGTGATGCAAATTTTAGTTACATGAAAAATTCCCTGCAGCTCTTTCGGGTCCTCTTTTCCAAGATGACGAAAAAAAGAAGGAACAACGGTTGTGCCAAAAAGGGCCGCGGTCATGTGCAGCCTATTCGCTGCACGAACTGCGCCCGGTGCGTACCCAAGGATAAGGCTATTAAGAAGTTTGTCATTCGGAACATAGTGGAGGCCGCCGCCGTCAGGGACATTTCCGAAGCGAGTGTCTTCGACGGTTATGTGCTTCCCAAGCTGTATGTGAAGCTGCATTATTGTGTGAGTTGTGCCATCACAGCAAAGTGGTCAGAAATCGATCTCGTGAAGCCTGTAAGGACCGAACTCCTCCACCCCGATTTAGACCTGCTGGTGCTGCCCCACGACCTCCACCAAAGCCCATGTAAGGGGAGCTGAGTCTTAATGGACTGAAGAAAACTCTTGAGAAAGAAATAATAAAATTGAATGTTACACTTTAAAAAAAAAAAAGAAAAAGAAAAATTCCCTGCAGCAGTGTCTCAGTTGGGGTCTCCAGAGGAAACAGATGGTGTACTTTAAGAGGGTAATTTGAGAAGTGTTAAATAGAAGAACCATTACATGGCAGTGGGCAGGGACCAGGAGACTACAAGTAATAATGCTGCGCTGTATTTGACAGCATTGCTGATGGTACCCTTTGCTCTGAAGGGGCAAGAGGGAGGAAGGGGCAGTCCCTGAAACCCAAAGACAAAGAAATCTCCATGGAGACCGCTTCCTGAATGAGCTGGAGGTGGCCTGAGGTTGAAAGAGCAGCTGGCATACAACAACTCTGCGGAGGGAGCAGGAGGCACCCTCTCTTGCTCTGAACCCCTACCCGTGCTCCTGGCTAGTCAGAAGGCCAAGGAGATACCAAAAAACACACAAGTCAGCCTGCGTGGCCCCAAAATATGGCAGAGAAAATTGAACAGTGCATTGGGAACTGTAAATGGAATTTTAAACATGTGCACTCGCACTCCCGTCCACATATTTATGCAGAATTTGTAATAGCTGGTTCACATGAAAGGGTTTCTCATTGAGGCTGAGCAGTGTGTGGAAGTGCTCTACCTTCCTCTGCATTCTAGAGACTGAGGCAGAAGGAGGATAAGTTCAAGCCCAGCCTTGGTAACTCATTGGTGTAGCGAGAACCTGTCAAAAATTAAAAGGCCTGGGGATGTAGCTTAGTGTAAGTATGGGGGTGGAGGTATGTGTAAATTGAAGACCTGGAGGATGTTAGAAGTTGTGCAGGTGCAAGAAGAAAAGTATTGAGTCATTGACTAGTATTAGCCATCCAGAGACACATTAGACTTTTATATTTTAAGAAAATTGCTTTCCCTCCCTTTCTCCTTTGCTTGGTCCCTGGGAACCAGCATGAGGCTTGCTGATTTGCCTTCTACAGACATCCCTAGTTATTCACTCCCTTGATGAGTGTCTCCCTTCCTCACTTTATACTGTGGTGGAGTCTTCCTGCCCCACTACAGAGCAAACTTCTAGGCTGTAGGACTGAGCATACTCGTCTTCATATGTGACCCATCATATAGCCTACTGTACAGTAGCTGCTTATTTATCATATAAATCTGAGTCTTGTGTGGGACAGACTTTGTTAGATGTATGAGTAAGATTTAGTCCTTGCCTTCCTAGGTTAGTCAGCATTTGGAAGACACTGACCAGAAAAAGGCAATTTCATGACTCTAAAATACGAATGTGCATGGGGTAGGAACAGGTTCCCTGGAGAACACAGGAGACTGGAATAGTAAACATGGAGACAACCTGGACGCCATTCCACTGCTAGGTGCAGACAGGAGCCATGACTTAGGCATGCTTTTTCCTCTGCTGTATTAAGTACTCTCACTTATGAGTGCTAGAGGTGGGGTGTAGTCAAAGGACGTCTCTTAACATCTCCCCAGTCTCCTGCCTCTGCAGGAATTTACGAAGTGCCAGACCACAGGGAACACAGTCTTTGGGCTGGGTGGTGGCCACACATGGCAGTGACAGCACAGGTATCTGTAATTAGAGTAGGTGGGTGAATGAAACATTTGTGCAGTCCAAATTTCATGCAACTCCTTCCACTTGAGAAGTGTGGACTCAGCTATCCTTTCTGCAACCCAAATCCGGGACTCCGGCTCCCTACTCAGAGGTCCCTCCCACTGCCGCGGGGCCCTGCCTGGTGTGTGTTCCCAGCACAAGTGCGCCTGTCCAGAATGGTAGTTTCAAGTCTCAGGGCGCTTGCGTGCAAGGAACCAATAGCTGCAGGAGGGAAGGAGCCTGTGAAGATCACAATGAGATGATAGAGCTACAAACTTCCCTAGGGATGAGCATCAGGGATTGATATTCTAAATAGGTATCAATCACCTTGAAGAGCCCAAATGAGTCACTAACCCAACTCCCAACAGGAAGAGACCTTGTCCTGTACTCATCCAGCTTGCAACATGACTTGCTTACCCATTTGATACTGGATTTAATCAATTTTACCTGAGCAATGGTGCTTGTAATCTCATTGGTTGACTAGTTTTGTCCCACCTCATGCCTACCTAAATGAGTTCCCATGTTCTCCACCACCTTAGACCCACCTCAGTGCATGGTGTTCCTTTATAAAAGTCCCTGGAAGAGACAGCTTCCTGGGGATCACTCACTCAGTGCCCTCCTTCTGTTCCTGTCTTAGAAGTTTCTTTCCCCGCAATAAATATATTCTGCTCACAACCTCCGTTTGCTCCTAAAATTCATTCTTTGGTTTTAGAGAACACTAAGTCATCCCAGGTACTTTTCAGGTCAGGAGTTTCATTTTTCCATTATACCATTTGGGGGTCATCTACCCTAGATCAGTTGTTCTATCTGTGTCATTTGGAGGTTCCCACAAAGATCATTGGATGGAGGTATGAGTTTGCTTTTCTTTCATAAATTCTAGATTGGGACCTGCTTAGGTAACACATTTTTATACTTCAAATGTTGATATGTCTTAGCCCATTGCTTATCATTGTTCATGCCTTGCCTCATCAATTTTGTCTCATATAACTGTCATAATTGCTTATCCTTTGTCTTTTAATGGTTTTATTAAAATGTTGGTCAAAATGTTGTTGGTAAATCTAAGTTAAAACATGGAAATGTTACAGGGCTATGATATTTCACTAATGGGACATTTTATGACTATTTTTTACTTGTATATGTTGCATTTGAACGAGTTGGCAAATGTACTGATATTCCTTGCTTGACTTTAGACAATCGCACTAGAGAGAGTAATGTTAGTAAGCCTCCTAGTGGACTTTACATAAACTTCTGTAAAATGGGACTTTTAAATCTCAGTCAGACTTAAAATATACATGCCTGTATATAAAACACAGGACTCCTTTTGCCACCTAAATGACATTAGGTCAGCAACCATTCTTCTTCTTCTTCTTCTTCTTCTTCTTCTTCTTCTTCTTCTTCTTCTTCTTCTTCTTCTTCTTCTTCTTCTTCTTCTTTTTGGCAGTACCAGGGATTGCACTCAGGACCTTGTGCTTGCCATGCAGGCGCTTACACCACTGAGCTATATTCCCAGCCCCCAGCAACCATTCTTAAAGACTTGAAGAACGGGTTTCACTGGGACAGACTGGCTCTGATCCCCTTCTACATGCTAGGGGAAAGGTCAGGCCTGCTTTATTTCAGTTTCCTTCCTTTGACCTTACTCCTAATTTTCCAACCTCTTTGTACCTTCCTTTTTACAGGCATGTAAAATTAGGAAAACGATAGAGACTGTTCCAACCAAGTGAAGCCCTTAGAAAATGAGCATTTGTTAATGTGAAAGAGAGGGAAGTCACTTTAGATAAAGAACACATATCTCATCTCTGGATCAAATGAAACAAAGAGGACTATGCCCATCCAAGAAGACACATATAAAAGCCATGTCCCGGCTTAGTGTTCTAGACAGGTCTCCTTTGAGAGGCTAAACCTGAGACACAGTGGAGAGAACCAACTTCTAGGTGACACCAGGAGGAGCTATCTCCAAAAACAGCACACCTATGGGACCAAAACATACTTAGTGTGAGGGACAATTTCCAACCTTTTCTCCTAGGTCTAGATATCATTAAGTGCATAAGAGTTATGTTATAGCCCTTAAAACCTTTACTGTAAAGGGCTAGGTAATCTTGTTCAGGCTGTTAGTTATTGTGGAACTTGGACACAGTGGTTACTCTGCCAGCTAGTAAATGATCCTAGAGCAGCTGCATTCTTTGAATCAGAGGACAGGTTTCTCCAGCCATTCTTTGGAGAATCCCCATTGAAGCCAATGGCTAATGAAATGTTGACCAGAGAGACAGCTGGATTCCTTCCTGAAGACTTATCTCTGGTTGTGTGGGCCAATAGAAACCAAGACTACCTGAGGAGTCATGACCATGGCTACTCTCTGGTGGATACCTGAAAGTTCTTGGTGGAAACTGGTTCTTGACCACTGAGAGATCTCCACTTACCTATTGTACTTTCTGCTAGTAGATTAGGAATTCTACCTGAACATTTCGGTAGAACCCTTTAATGGGCCACTCCAGAAATTAGGCTGAGGCAGCTTGCAATGGTTTACATTATACAGCAGTTATCAGAGGAATGATTTACATCTGTGCCTTACATGGTAACTAAGAGTAAGGAAGGTTTTTGTCAGCCTTAAAGTAATGTGTTTTTACCAATATGTAAAATGTGATTGCTAGATGATAAATGTAAGTTTTACCTGTGAGCGCCAAAGATTTAATATAGCCTAGTCCTTCTAGGAAAGGCTGCCCTGGTGACTGTATGGAAGAACATAAGTGTCTTGGAGATTTCTTTGCACTAGAGCCCAAGGCAAAGTCCCTCCAGCCAATTGTCTCTTTTGTCTACCTCCAAAGGTAGTGTATTGTACTCTTTTACAGTACAGCAGGGAAAGTGCTCTGCTTCCAATGTTATCCTTTTATACAATAGTTATGCTTCCTTCTGTAGACATCACTGTCACCAGGCCAATTGTAACATATTTACAAATATTCAATAAAAGTAAGTGCACCATTCACATGGTTCATGAGATTCTCAGGAAAAAAAAGTCACACACCAGTTTGAAGGTGGATAGGCTGGTTGGCTCTTGTCTCCCCTCTCTCCAAGAGCAAGCACCTGCTCTGGCATGTTCTACTTAGGGGATACCTTGAGGGGGAATCAATTAGAGGTAAGGTGGGGAAGCCCAGAACTCTCTCTTTTTGCATTCCATATCATAGGACTCTCACAGTCAAAGTCTTTTACTCCTTTAGAGTACATCATTATGCACTGGAAGATGTTTGTTCCATACAAAAAAAAAAAGAGCTGTTTAATATTTTTCTGCACATGTAAATGGCCTATATACCCCCTAGAGCCAAAATGGAATGCAAAGGGAAGTATCAATTATGACACTGTTTTACAACCAGAATGATACTATAGAAAGGAAAATGGT